CGCAGGGCACTCGGACGCCAGGCCCAGGGGACAGGACAGCAGCACAAAAGACCACAACTACAGTTCCCACCGCACAGCTCCAGCACCTCCCATTCATACATCTCCATTTGTTCTCCCAGATGGAAAATCCTGCTTGCCTTGACCTTCTTCAACAGATTCATTTGACCAAGTCACAGTTTTTAATGTGGAGATGCTTCTGCTGTGGTTTCTTCACCCACCTTAAATCCACAGCTTTCCCCTCTTCTGCTCCGACCTTCTCCAGGTTTCTAAACATCTGCGTTTCAGTGATATTTGGTTATTTATATCAGACCCTGGTGGCCCAGGTAGAAACTGTTTGATAAAGCTCCATACATCTGTGTGCAATAAAGTCAGTGAACAAAAGGCTTGTGAGGTCCTTGGCAAAATAAGAGAAAGAAGAGAGCAGGAGGCAGCAGCACCAGGCTTAGCTGAGCAACCAGAGCCAAAACCTTTTACTGGAGAGGTCTCAGCACCTGGCACATGTTCTTCCCATACCTGGGGCTGCAGCCCATGCAGGGGTGTCTTCTCCACTGGCTGAATAGCAAAGCATGGGGAGTGTAGGTGATGCCAATATTGGGAGGTGATTTTTACTGCAGCTGGCGAAGGCGTTCATAGAAAGAAAAGATGGGTTGCTAAAGAGCCACTTACTGTGGGAGAGAAATTCAAACCAAGAAGCACTGGCTGGAAATTAAAGCCAGGCCAATTCATGTTAGGAAGGAGGCTAAATGCTTTAGCACAGCAGGGTATTATCCACTGGGCAAGGCAGAGGGTGGGAGGGAGCCGCATTTCCTGCTCGCCTCTGTCCAGGGAAGCATGGCTGGGAGAGCCACACGCCCTGCCCACAGCACCAGCACCACGTGCTGATCCAGAGCTGGAATCCAAAAGCATCACGACCTGATGATGGGTCCCTGTTGGTCCGAATGGACAGTTCCCAGCAACAGTGGTGTGACCAGGCATTGTCCATATAAGCATCTCTGGGCCCCCACTGCTGGTTTCCTTTGAGGGGGCAGGACCAGTGTGACGGAACCCATCACGATGTGTACCAGCCCCGTCCCCAGCAAGGACTTTCTGACGCCGAGATGGGTCATTTATTTCTTTGCCCTAATTCTTTTGTCCCTATGTCCTATTGTCAGGAAAAAATAAGATGGCTATTTTCCTTCAGACAGACCAAGCCTCTCCCATTGGGCATCTGCAAACACATCAGGCTACAGACCGAGTTGCCAGCTAGCCCTGGATGGTAGCCAGCAGTGCACAGCACTGGCCATTCAGCACCCAGGCACTCAGGGCGAGCCCAGGAGACAGTAACTTGGACTAAACCCACTCTCCTTTGGCTGGTTTGGCACCTTTTGTCTGCACAAACAGGTGGATTAGGAGGGGGTGGATGACGGAAAAGCACCGTGTGCATGGGATTAGGAGGCAGTTGTTGCCCAGCGGATGTCCTCAGAGCCCTGGGAGTGCAGCTGGAAGGAAAGGACAGAGCCAAGGCTAAGCTGACAGAGCCAAACAAATCTGAGCAGTCACAGTGGAGAAGCGGCCATCACTGCCTGGCTGCTCGGCGTGCTGTGAGGAGCTCACAGGGAGGCCAAGTCCAGGGATGCTGGCTATGGAGAGGGGCTTGACCAGCCTACACCTTCTTCCAGCTCACTCACTCGCTCCTGGGAGGGTTTATACCCTGAGGCTGCACAACCTTGAGGTCCTTTTCTCTGGATGACGGCAGGGACGGTTGTTTTGGGGAGCAACATGCAGCTTCTTGTGAGGTTCAGCTTCTTGACTTCTCCAGGCACTGGATTTTCCCATCCCTGGAAGATCAACGTAAAAGGGATCCCAGGAGCAGGGCTGCAGACAGCTCTGCGCACTCACTCCTCCGCATTCCGGCACTGCTCCAGCCTGGTGAGACTAGTGGAAATATTCGCAAAGATCTTGAGAAAAACCCAGGAGTTTGGCTTTCCTGGCTTTGCAAAAGCATTTCTACTTATCAAGCAGCCCAGGGAAATGTGAAGATTTTCACTCACTCTTCGGTGGGCTCAGCTTTGAATGTTAAAAAGGGATTTGCCAATTCAGTCTTGCAAAATCCTGAAGTACCAAGTCCAGCGCTCCTAAAAAAGGAGTTTTAGGAGGAAATGAGCTTTCATGCTCTTTGGAAAACTTTCATTTCTACCAAATTTAAGGAAGAATGGGGCCATGCCACCCCCTGGAGAAATGCCTTCTCATGTTGGTCATCAGGGACTGAATCTTGTGGTTTGTAGCACCAAAGGCAGAGCTGCTACAGAGCCTTGAGGCTTTGGAAGATGGAGAGGTGGTCACAGGCTACAGCAGGGATAACAGACCCTCAGGCTGAGGGACTTAAAACTTCCTTTCCTCTGCTTGAGCTGAGCCCTGAGGCCATGTCATTGATACCGGTGTTGCCTTCGTGGTTAGCTACATCCAAAACGACATCCTTCATGTTGCAGCCCTGATGCACCTCTCAGCTGGTCCATGCCTGAGAGAAGGCTCTGCAGGGTATCATCACTCAGGCCTGAGCCTCTCAGCATCTTGGTCACCTCTCTGTAAAACAAGGATTGGGACTTTAAAAATGTCACCTTCTTTCCGAAAGCTCAGCTCATGTGTTCTGCAGGGCAAGAATCATCTCTAATCCCCTGTTAACCTGCCAGAGGGGAGACTGAGATGAACTCTGAGGCAGAAGCTCTTCCCTGTGAGGGTGCTGAGGCGCTGGCACAGGGTGCCCAGAGAAGCTGTGGCTGCCCCATCCCTGGCAGTGTTCAAGGCCAGGTTGGACAGAGGGGCTTGGAGCAACCTGCTCTAGTGGAAGGTGCCCCTGCCTGTGGCAGGGAGTTGGAACTGGATGAGCTTTAAGGTCCCTTCAACCCAAACCAGTCTGGGGTTCTATAATTCTATGTTTTGTACGATGCTGTTTGTGGTGCAGCCATCATGGTGGCAGGGGCTGCATGGCATGTCATGAGAAAAGGAGAACACAATAGCTGGGCACTCCTGGCAAAGCACTTTGTGTTTTGCCATCTGAGAGTGAGATGGAAGGGGAAGAACTTACAAGGGGGGGAATGAAGAAACCACCCTGTGCGTGTTCCTGCACTTCTTTTAGCTGCAAACAGGATGTTTAAGTGTGTTTGGAGCATCAGCAAATGTGTCCGTGGGACTGGCCAGGTCTAAAGTGCAGTAATTCCCTGTGCACACAGGAGCTGTGTCTCAGTCTCCTTGATGGCTCACTCCTGTTTTGGGAGATGACAAACACGCCCGCGGGCTGGTGGGCTCATCTAAGGCGAGGCAAACCGCAGCGCCAAGTCCTGACCCTGCTCTGTGTCAGGAATCTCACTTTCTCACAGCTGAGAAACCTCTCCCAGGCCTCTCTTCTCACCATTAGCACATTGGTGGCTGCTTCTCCTGCTCAGCCAGCATTTGGTGAGGACATGAGGTTAGACCTCACCATGTTAGCCAGAGGAATTCAGGTAGCAAAGCACGGAGGGAACAGTCTCCATCCTGCTGGTCGGACATGTCCGGAGGATTTTGCTCTCCCCTTTGCTTTCATATCATGAGTTAGCTGGGAATTGTTCCTGATAAATAATCCGGAACTGCACTGTAATTTTCTGGTCTGAAATTTGATAATTAAGCAAATATAACATGTCTTTGTCTTGGGCAAGCACCATAAGGTAAACAGGAAGGAATGAGGGATTAAGATGTCTGTACTCTAAAGGAAGGTGACAAGCCCAGAGCCATGACACCTTTGTGCTGAGCCGAAGAGGCCCAGCTGTGGGTTGGCATTGCACAGATGCATTGTTCAGGGGTGAAGAGCAAATAAAAGCAAAGGGAAAAGAAAACAAGCTATAAAACTCTCAGCAAAGCACAGAGCCCAAACTCTGCCTCTTGATGTTCCCGTGACAGCTCTGGGGAGAGGCAGGCGAGGAGTCGAGCTTTTGAAGTCCTGTCCAAAGGCCCCCTGTTAAAATAGTCCTTGTGTTGACATTAGGTTGCATATGGTGGAGACTTTCCAGGCAGGTTCAGTCTCAGCACATGCAATCAAAGCAGAGGGGGACTTTCTGGTGTTTGACTAACTGGGTGCTAGGCCGGCCCTGTCCCAGCAGTGGGGCGAGAGATGCAGAGCCAGAGTGAGGCTTTATCAGCATGTTCAGGGATGTAGACATGTAACAGAACCTTGTGCTATGGGTACCAAGCATGGGAAGGAAAGACAGGGTAGAAGTTACCTAGGAAGAGCTTGAAATTATATGTGGATTTCAGACACACACGTGTGTCAGGACTGGTGAGAATGGGAATACTGGGAACATCTGGGACGTGCGGGGTTCACAGCTGTTTGGAGGGGATTGTACCAAACAGTAGCATGATGGAAGTGTTCAAGGCCAGGTTGGACAGAGGGGCTTGGAGCAACCTGCTCTAGGGGAAGGTGTCCCTGCCCGTGGCAGGGGTTGGAACTGGATGAGCTTTAAGGTCCCTTCCAACCCAAATCATTCCATGAGTCTATAATTCTATGAAGCACCACAGTGCAAGAGCAGATGAGAAGGAAGATGAGCAGATGAGAAGGAAGATGAGCAGCGCTTGCATGGGACGAAGCACCTGCAGCAAAGCTGGAGGAGCAGCTGAGGGCTTGTGCGTTGCCATTTCCTAATCACAGGTGGGATCTCTGCCCTCACAGCTCTGTCTGCACCTGGCTTTTAATCCACAGTAAGAATGGGGAGAAGCAAAAGGCGTATTTGTCTGGTCATGGTGGTGAAACGAGGTCTCAGCAACCTCTGCTTCCCCTCCTAAAAGTTGGAGTCACAACACAGAGCTGGCTGAGGAGGGATGTGGGTTAGCAGTTGGCTTCCCATAGCCAGATGTGCCACCAGCACATCCCATCCTTTGACACCCTGGCAGGACCCTGAGGGTACCCAGCCCTCACACATGGGCTCTCCCGGTGGTGGCACCTTCATGGCCAGGTGCAGATGCTGATGGTCTCCTCTCTTTGCCTCTCTCAGCCTGCAACTGCAACCTGCATGCCCGACGGTGCCGCTTCAACATGGAGCTCTACAAGCTGTCGGGGCGCAAGAGCGGCGGTGTGTGCCTCAACTGCCGGCACAACACTGCTGGGCGGCACTGCCACTACTGCAAGGAGGGCTTCTACCGGGACCTCAGCAAGCCCATATCCCACCGCAAGGCCTGCAAAGGTACTGGGTTGGGGGTGGGATGGCCGGGACCACCCAGCTCCTTCTTCAACCACTTCCTGCTGCTCCTGCTTCCGCAGCTCATGCTCTCACCAAACTCCTCCCACTCCTCCCTCTCTCAAACCAAGCCCTTGAAATGACTTCTTGCCACCATGTTCCTTGCCATCACCTCTCCCTGGTGTCCCCAGCCTCCTAGTGAGGACAAGGCCACCAATATATAAGAAGTCCTCACTGCTGAGGATGACTTCAGTTTCAGGTTTTATCACTTAAAAATTGTGCTACATCCACTCCAACAGCTGCAGCAAATTTGGTCAGCACATGTGTAAGGGCAGAGCTGCTTAAAATCCAGGTGTGGGGTTAGATGTAGTGCCTGTAAATCAGCCCATCTCCTGCTTCCATCCTCACCCCAGTGCTGTTCGGGGACAGGTAGCACTTAATCCATGCACACAACATCCCACAGTGAATGGTGGAAAGGTGAGAACAGTAAAACAGGAGCCAATTTTACTTTGAGCTCGACAAGTGGAGTTTTTTGATGCTTCCTCCTCTCCTGCCATGGCCATCAGGGCAAGCGGGGCTTCAGCTGGGGCTGGAGCAGCAATAAGAGCAAATCCTGCAAGTGAACTCTTTTAACTCTCAGATATCTGCTGGAAGAGATTTAAATCCTGAACCTGAGCCGCAGCTAAAAGAATCAAACAAATATTCAAAAGCCAGATTAGAAGAAGCTAGAGCTTCCTGCAGAAATCTTCATTTCTTTTCTCTCTAAGACTCGTTTCAATAAGAAATGGAAAGCTTTTTGGCCTGAGTTGGGTATTTTTGGCTGGAAAGCTTTCGGTCTTCAGCATTCCCAATTTTTTAATGAGAAGACTTCTCCATGTTTTGATTTTAGTTTTGGGGTATTTTTTGTTTTGTTTTGTTTTGTTTTTCCACTGAGAACACACCCTGTGCCAAAGCAGAAAAAGAAATTGCTTCTTTAGATGGCCCAACTTCCCCTCTTTCACCTTGTAAAGACCATCACAATGAGCCCTTTTCCACCCATCCTGCACGGAGGCTGTTGACAGCTCCAGCTCCAGATGACATGGGCTGGTGGGTAGTGAACCCAACGCAAGGCTCTGGAGGAGGACAGGAGCTGCCCTTTTGGGCAGAGCCACTTCCAGACCAGCTCCAACACCCATACCCTGTCCGGACCCCACTCCGGAGCAAGCTGCTGGCCACTCCTTGCCCCCTGCTCCCAGGTGGATTTGTGTCCTAATAAAGTTCATGTTTGCACCTTCCTGGCCGGGCTGCAGCTGAAGGAACAGTGCATTAGGTTGAGGCAGAAATAGGCAGATTTGTGAAGGCTTTCCTGGAGCAGGCTGGGCAGCACTGCAGGAGGGCATCCATCACCCCGCGCAGCAGCATTCGCGCATGTCCAGAGCCTGATTCTCATTGACCTTCCTGCTCCCCAGAAAGGGTTTTGGGGAGGTGGTGGGAATTCCCTCCCCTCCAAAGCAGCACAGTTCACTTCTTCCCAGGGCTCTGGTTTACCCTGGCTGCCTCCTCAGCATGAGAGGTCCTGGGGATCTGGTGGGATTTTTCCTCCCACCGGATCACTGTGTATCTGTAGGGATTAGCGCAGGAGGCACGATCCAGGAAGGGGATGCTCAGATGGAGGGAAGGGCAGATCCCGTTTCCTGTCCATCCCCTGCTTTTCCACCCTGGGAAAGGCAGTCCCTGCCCTGGGTGATGAACACACATACCTCTGCCTCATTGACTCCAGCATTTCCCAGGACCTTCCTTGCTCCTGCTTTTTCCAGCTCTCCTCCTCAGCTAGGCAGCCCGTTCCCTGTCTCCTGCCCATTTATCCTTGCTGTGTCCTGGCCAGTCTCTCCCTGGCTGGTAGCACAGTGGTCATAACCAAAACCCACAGCTGGTGGTACCTGTGGGTGGGAGACCTCAGAGCCATGCTGTGCCTCAGTTTCCCCAAGCAAGCACCCAGGAAGATGCACGCTGGCCTTCAGGAGGCACTCCCACTGCTGGAAGGGTGCATTTCCCAGTCGCTGGGTCATTCACTCCATTAAATGCTCTTTGCAATTGTCCTTTCCTATCTCCTGCCTCCTGCTCTTGAAATCTGTGACTGCCAAATTTAAATAGTCCTGCAGCCCCCCATGGTTTGTAACAAAAATGTGGCTATTGCAGCTAACAGATACAAAGGTATGTAATGAATATGCTGATGCATGAGCAGCCCCCCGACTCACAGCCTATTAGCACAATTTCACAGTAGCTGGAATGGTTTATTGTTGGCGTAATCCATCGTCCTATACAAAAGCGAGAGAAATGAAGTTTCCTAGAGCAAAGGCATTCCTTTGAATCTTGGTTTTCCTGAGCTCTGTTCTGACACAGGGGATTTCGTGTTCCCTCTGGTTTGCTTCCCGGATTCAGGGATTTTCTGAAATAATTGCTGCAAACAATCTCTAAAAAATTGTTTTTAAAGGCATTAAAAAAAAAAAAGAATTTAAACCCAAACCTACCATGTAACAACCTCAGCGATTTCCCCATTGATAACAGCCTTAATCCATCATGTCACCAAGCCATCTGCCGATGGGCAAACCTCTCCCAGAGTCTCATCTTGACTAAATGTGTTTAGAATTAAGGAATTAACCATCCCACAGCATCTGCCATCTCCCTCACAGTTGCCTCATGCCTCATCTCACCCAGCAGACTGTGTTTTCTCTGTAAGACTTGATTCTTTCAACCATCGCATTGCTCTGTTCATGTCCCACACATAACACATTCAAACAAATGCATCTCCTGGAGTGCTGGTGCCTCACAAGCCAGCGGTCAGGACTTGCCAAGGGAGCATGCAGCACGCTTACCCCGCCGGCAAGCGCGCACAAGCTCGGGTGAACTCACCACAAATGGTCCATGAAAGAACTGCCAAAGAGGTTTTGGTATTAATTCAGCTTCCTTCATCCAGCCTAACAGACACATCCAGCTAAACTGCTTTCCTCTCACCTGTGCTTCCCATCTCTCATCCCATCCTATGCACTGGGTTATGTACCTCAGTTCATAAAGCATCTAACATTAGAAAATCACAAAGGCATGACTGGCATTATTTCCAGCAGTTGGGTTTGTTTTCCATGCAAAAACAGCAGAAATGTTTGCACAAGGTCAACTTTTCTTTCTTTTTTTTTTTTTTTTAACTTGGAGAAAAAGAAAACACCACAAAATTCTGCGTGCGTTGCAGGGCTTGTGTGAGGCTCAGGCAGCAAAGGGGGAGCAGAAAGTAGAGCTGGGCAGTGTGGTCCTGACCAGGCAGGGGCATGGGTGCTTTTCTAATGGCCAAAAGTATAATGATTTTTAATTGAAAGACTTTTTTTAAGGATTGAGGGTTGTCTCACCAGCACAGGTGAAGGATTTACAGATTACTGTCACCCTGATGGTTACAAGCACTGGGGCCATGACATCTTCCTCCCCTGTGCATGTGCTTCCAGCTGTTTTGTTGCAAGCCTGATAAACCGTTGACAGTCACCAGCGATGCCCTGTTGTGGAGCCAGCAACAGGCAGAGCAGGGCATGAAGTCTGCAAACCACATACAAAGGAACTGATGACGGATGGAGCGGAGATATTGCATGAAGTGGGAATGCTGGGAACATGCCAGTGCCTGCCAGGCTGGAACTGGGAGCTAAGGGAGGACTGTGCCTGTTGCAGGTGGGTGGTCAGGCGAGCCCAGGGACACCAGTTACTCAAGCAAGGGCTCAGGGGTTTTGCGGTCAGACCGCACAACTGACCTCTGCGTGGCCCTGGATGGGGACACTTGGGCTGGAAGACTCCAATAGCGGTGTCGCTCCTTCACCGATGGGGATGGATGGGCTCATCTCAGCAGGATGCCCTCTCCTCCGGCAGATCCATCAAACCCAGACCCCAGCCAGGCAAAATTGTGCATGTTCACCTTCTAAACTCATAACAAGGGTAAATTCCTCTTTTCTCAATGATTTTTGTGGGAGCGTGAAGAGTTCCCAGAATGCTGAAGCCCTGCTTTTCATTTCTTCTGCTTTCTCTCTGCTCCAAATGATGTTGCAAGTGAAATTCCACATCTGGGTCCTGCAAACCTCCGTCCACTCTGCTCTGTCGTGGGCCACTGTGAATCAGGGCCCCAGTGTTAGTCCTTTTTGATTAAATTCACTCCTGATATTTGCCAGATTATTGGCACTAATGTCATTCTATTGGAACAGAGACTCTGCAGGATTTTATAGCCTGGCTGTGAAACAGCTCTGCGCTTGGGGGAAAGGATTTACACACTTTTTGATGAAAAGATGACAAACGATATGTGTCATAAATTCACTTGTGCTGAGGCTGCCAGAGCAAACGCCTTGTGGAGGTGCAGGATTTGGCACCTGAAGAGGTCACATTTGTTAGGTCTCAATGTTTTGGTAGAGAATGGGATCTCCTGTCTTCCCGGTGCCGAGCCTGGCACCTTTCCATCAGTGTTGGAGGATTATTTAATGGCTTGTGCAAAGAAAAAAAGAAAAGCACTCCCCGCCTACCTGCCTGTTTGCCAAATCCCAGAAAGGCTTAAGATTTGACATTTGCTTTTTGAGACAGTTTGGGTCCAAGCAGAGAGATGGTTGAGTGCTGTTCCCCTGGGCTCAGCCTCCAGTCCTTGATTTCAAGGGTGCAGATGCAGGTTTTCTGCAGGCATCTGAGAGGTGGTGGGTGGAACTGATGCAGCTGAACCCCTTTGGCTGCTTGTGCTGCCTGGAGAGGAGAGCAGAGCCCTGGTGACAGGGACAGTGGGACGAGTCCCCCGTCTCTCTCCACTGACTATAGAGGGAGCTGCGTGACCATCTTAGAGCAGAGATCATTTCCACCAGGCTGAAGCCAGGGGAGATGTAACCTCTTCCCGCTGACTGGAGCCCCACTGAGACGTTGAGGTGCAGGAGGCAGCCGGGCTATAACCCACATTAGACAGCAGTCTGAGGATGGGCTCGCTGGCGTCCCGCTATTGGTGTCCCATGGGCCATGTC